AAATAGTTGAAAATATCCGAGATTCGAGAACAATTTTAATTGAGAAAGATATGAAAGAGATGATCACAAAAACCGTGTAAAGAAAAAAAAAAAATAATTGTAATTTTATCGGAAATTTCTCTATCTAAAGCTTCAACATTTTGTTTGATTTTTTAAATCTCGATTTATAAAATCAATATTTTTAAATATCTTTCTATTTTGAGAGCATGTGAAGCAAGATATGAACAAATTAATCCAGTATCATTATTTTTACGTTGATACGTCGAGATCGTCCCTGAATTATCTCTCGACATGTGCATTAATTACGACCCATTGCGGTCTCATTTGCATCCAACGATGAATGTATATATATTATCGGTCATCGAAATGAATATACACAAAGTACTGAAGGAGATAAATCCGATTGTAATAAATTTATTGGCAACAATATTCGATCTGTCGTGTCGTGCGCAAATAAATACACCACCATTGGTTTTTTTAGTCTAAAAATGTCGATATATTTTCTATATCCCGTCCCCTCTCGGGACGAGAGGAGAGACGGGAGATAATAATTCCAATCAATCTCGGCTTATACAAATTCATCGGGGCAGTTATTTCGTCGATGTCAACGCCGTGATGCTGTCGGGCGCTCCGATCTCATACCGGTGTGTTTCGCGTCCGAGAGAGATTCATCTCGCGTCTTCCTCGCAGAATTTTCCCTTCTCCCCCTCCCTCGAAATAACGTAAAGCGTATCCTACGATTTTGTACTAGATCCTCGAGGAGAACCGGCGATTTGTTCCGTCCCGTTACTCCTCCACCTGTCGGTCCATCCGGACTCGGAGCAAGATCCATAATCCCGTAAGCTTCCCGACTTTACGAGACACGGACCCGCCAGAGATCCACTCTCCGAACTCATCGCTTCGCCCATTTCAGAAAGCGTCTTTCTGTCAAAAATGTCGAATATTTCGGGCATTTTTACAGTGTCTCTCTAAAAGCTTCCACTTTGGCTGTAGAACGAAAGATGGAATGAACGATGATGGGAATGTCTTTATACATATTGAATATCTCTCCCGTGTTTCCTGAAAAAAGAAAATTGGAATTTTCGCCTGACGTTCCTTTCTAAAATGTCTGATCGTTGTCGCGAGATCTCTCATTTTCTCTTCGACGGAATTTCGTTCGATAACGCTTGGCACCGGGGAGGGAAGAGAGCGCCCGATCCGACACACACGTCCGGCGTAACATTATAGTTAAACACTATTGTAGCGCGATAGATGTGCGTCGTACGTAATGTAATTTTACATAGAGTTACATCGTAATCTAAGTAATGTAGGCGAGATAAGTTACGAGAGCACGTATAATACAATATATTATATATATATATATATTTATAGACTTTTCCTTATCGCGCAAACGTGTATTCTGTATATGTACGTAATAATGCGTGTGTATGTATGTGTGTGGAATTTCAAAATTTATATAACATAACGAGGACGCGCGCGAAGGTCTCCCCAATTTGTGCGCGTGCAATTGCATCTCGATGCGATCTTCCGTGCCGCATGATACTCAGGTTTCTTCCCGGTGCGGAGACATCGGTTAGCTTCCGGGAGAGAGGGCCTTCGTTCGATGAAACTGCAATCAGCCTCGCCGAAGGATTGTCGAAGCGCAACACGATCCGAGTTGGAGTTACTTTCGCCGGGTCGCTTTGTAACATACGGATCAGGTAGTGTATCCTAAGATCCGCGCGCCGACGCCGTGATTTCGGCCCTTCGAAGGGAGAGAAATGTATTCCGCGTACACAGTGTGTAACTGATGAGAAGAAAAAAAAAAGATACCATGATTTTTAAATTCTTTCACTCCTCTATTTTTTTTTTTTTTTTTTTTCCCTTTGTTAGGCAAGGCAAGGCAATGTCAGATTTGGTTAGGCTAGGCAAGGAAATGTCA